AGTTCAAACAACTTAGAATTGTAGTTGAGAACGTCTGTTACAACGGCTCACGTATTAAAAAATAGTCGGGTTTAAATCGGGCTCGGGCTCATAATTACAGACAATGTGTCGGACCGGGTCGGGCTCGGACACAAGGTGCACGGGCTCGGGTAGGATCGGGTTTCATTTTTTGGGCCCGATCTAAGCTCTACACACAAGGAGTTCGGTGTCAGTAGCTCTCCAGTGTACCGGTCAATTTACATACAGTTAAGTCAGTTATTACATACAGTCTGATGTACTTGAGTGGCTCATAGATACAGAAATGTAAGAGTGCATGAGGGCACATTATCATGAGAACACTCTGCCAAGGGTACCATCTGCAGCACTGTCTTGGAATCTTGGTGTAATATACAGTCAAATGCATAATGATATATATTGTATTGCACGTTGCATACATTTGTTTACACTGTAAAGGAAAGTTGAAAGGAATGTCTGGCCTGTGTTGGACAGTGGGCGAGCAGCCGGTGGTCCGCAGCTTCCCTGTCTCCACCCTGACCAAGGAGAAGAAGATCAGCATCCCGAGCCAGCTGCGGCAGAGCCTGCAGGAGGGCCTGCAGATGCGTTCTGCCTCCTTTCAGGTAGCACCTTCAGCCGAAGTGCCGTCTGAGGCTGAGGACAGAGGCATGTTCAGCTTATGCATTATGGTGTGTAGGATAAGGGCGTACAGCCTTCTCTGGCTTTTCTGAGATGTTTGGGTGTCATTTTGAATCAGTTCTTTCAGCTTTTAAAAGCAGGCCTTCTATAATCCATGGTCAGCCTCACAAAATCCAATTTAAGGTTATTCAGGAATTGTGGATTGTCCTATATACGGTCTAACCTTTTTTTTGTTGGTTGTGAACAAGCACCACTTTTCATTTTCTCTCTTTTAAGCATTTAGTGTATTACATTAATAAGTTAATGTCTGTGTTTGTGTCTGGGTGAGGATATAATTGTATCAGGCAGCATTGTAGATAAGTGGATACCGTAGCAGCTTCACACTTCCAGGACTGCGGCTTTGTATGTGTTTGTGTGTGTGTGTGTGTGTAATGCATGTGTACATGCATGGTGTGTGTGTGTGTTTCCGTGTGTTTCTGTAATTATTACATTGTGGGGATTAGATTTTCCTAAAATATGATATAAACCTGCAAGGTTTTACCTTGTTGGGACCACATTCTCAATCCCCACAAGGGAAAACTCAATTTTATAAAAATCTATGACTGCAATCAAAAAACTAAAAATCCCAAAAAAGTCTTGTATTATGCTTGGTTTTTTTATGGCTAAGGTTGGTTCTGGGTAGGGGTTAAGGTTGGGTCTGGGTTTGGCTTAAGGTGTCTCCTCTGCCTATTCTGGGTTTTTCCTGGTTCTACAAGTGACTTGGACCCTTCATTCTGCTCCCTGTGTTTTCTTGAACAGACATCAGATCACAGCACTAAACGGATGGGCATGTTTTAATGGAGTGGTGTTTGGATAATTCTATGTCATGTTAGTTTCAGTCAGAAACAGAAAAATATGTTTTACACTCACCCACATGTGCTTGCTCTTTCACAATGTGCAGAGTGCTGTTAAAGTTTTATTGTTCATTCCTATCTTTCTTAGTAACTCGGCCTATAAAAACACATTCTGGAGGGGGTCACCCTCATCTATGAGTGCGCTGCTCTTCCAGCCACTCCCAGCCAACAGGCGTGGTCTGCATTGCAGCTCTGTCCCTCATTAAGCTGTAAATTGGACTATGGAGAACCTGACCAGAGTTCACTGAACTGCCATGTCAGAAAATATGAAGGGTTGACCCTGAGAGAAGAGTGCAGATCGGCCTTAGCTGGAATGTGACTCCAGTGACCACATGCCTTCATCCAGTCCTTCCGCTGGCTTTTACTCCACAGCTTACCAAGGTGGCATTTGATGAAGAGGTGAGCTCAGAAGTGGTGGAGATCTTTAAGAAGCACCTCCAGAGGATACGCTGCCCGCAGTCCATCTTCAGCACGTTCGCATTCGCTGAAGGGCAGACCATGCCCCAGATGATTCTGCCTAAGCCGAAGGAGAAGAACATCGGCTTCCGGTTGGTCTGATCTGGACAGACAGACAGACACGCACACACACACATACACACACATTGTATTCATGTCTTTGTGGGGACTCTCCATTCATTTCCATGGGCAAATCCCTAAAACTTTTTTGATTACAGTCACAGATCTTTATAAAACTGATTTTCCTCTTGTGGGGACTGAAAAAACAGGTCCCACAATGTCAAAAGCACAGATTTTTAGCACATTATGGGGATATTTGGTCCCCACAACATAACCCACATACACACATGCACACCCACACACGCTTGTGTGTTGTATTCATATCTTTGTGGGGCCTGTGCATTAATTTCTACGGGCAAAATCTTAATCCCAGTTATGATAACCTTAACCCCCTACCCAGCCCTTACCTTAACCATAAGTAACCAAAGTGGCATTTTTAGTTTTTTGATTGCATTCACAGATTTTTATATTTAATTGCAGTTATCCTTGTGGAGACCAAAAAAATGTCCCCAGAAGGTAAAAAGTTACAGGTTTTTATTACATTGTAGGGAAATCTGGTCCACACAATGTAATAATTACACACACACACACACAGTTGAACACACCTCTGTTTCCTCCAATCAGCCTCACCGTTAACAGCCCGCCGTTTGTTCTCCTCCAATTGGCAAATCCTCTGCAGCACTCTTTCCAAAACGATTGTGAGAGGGGCCAAGATGGCGGGAAAGATTACTATTGGGCGCCCGCACGTGGGCAAGAAAAACGAGAGGGGGAGTCGCATGACGTGGCACGAGGACGACGATATTTCGGGTGAGTGTCCCGCCTCCTGTTGGCCTGGGCCCAGGGCGCCGCAAGGCCCTGACCTCCAGTGTGGCTGCTGGTGTCTAGTGTCTGACGACGGGGAGCCTCCGGTCTGCGGCACCCTCAAGCCTTCTGACAAGTCCACGATGGAGCAGTTGGTGGAGCAAGCCTTTTTCCGGGACTTCCAGCGACTGGGCCTTGGTACCGTTACTGCCAGCTCCTCACGAACCAAGGCCGGCGAGCAGTTCCGGGTCACTGCTGTCAACAGGCTCTACTCGCTGTGCCGGAGGTCAGTCTCAAAATCATATGGGGTAAAGGTGCTGATGGGATGTTCCATCAGGGAGGGGTGGACAGTACGACCTGAAATTATTATCATAGTATTTTTCCCTTTTTATATGGTGATGGTATTTTGGGAGGAGTAGCATTTCCTGTCCCTTTATAGAAATTTTGTTTAAAAAAATCATAATATTTTAACTGGGTTGTCAACTTTGGTCTGCAGGCTGGTGTGAGATTTTCAATTCGAGACAAGTCTGCACACACATGCACATGCATTTACATGTATGAAAAAGAATGAACTTGTAAATAGTTTGTAGGGTTTGCCAACTACCCCAGTGCTTTTGATGTAGCTAATTTTTGGTTTATAATGGAATAACACATATTTGCTGTAAGATGTCTTGTGTGAGTATGAGTCTGAAAGCGTATCACCTCAGATGTATGTGAGTTGGCAACCCTGAAAACGTATGTTTTTAAAAAAAAA